CCTGGCAGCTGCAGGAGGTACCACTGCCCCCCCAGGAAGGAAGGATGCTCCTGCTGTGGGCCAGGCAGGTCCTGCCGTGGTCCCGGCGGCAGCTGTGCCCACAGCCCATGGCAAAGGGCACTCCCGGGGGACCCTCCTGCAGCCCCAATGCACTGTCCTTAAGCGGCCATCAAGAAGGGCGCAGCCAGTCGGTGGGATGTGGTCTGGTCCTCTCTCTGCTTGGATGTCCCCGTGTGTGTCCAGCCTCGCCGCTCGGTGAGTTACCCCAGCCCATGTCGCAAGCCCCACTCCCCATTCCGGCCCAGCGAGACACCTGCTTTTCTGGCCAAACCAGGCTCCCCACGTCGAGGAATGTGGGTGTGATGCCGAGAGCGTGGGTCGCGTTTCCCCTGCAGCTCCTGCCAGCTCGCAGCTCCCTCCTGCCCCGCTCCCCGAGCCTGCCGGCACCCTCGAGAAACAGAGCAGGAGGAGGAGAGGGAAAAATTGCAGCTGAGGACGGAGCTACTGCGCAGCGATGGGACTGGGGAACAACAAGGGACGAGGGGAGGTTCGGCAGAATCGAGGGGTGTTTTCTCTAAGTGTGTGTGTGTGTTTGTGCTCAGGCCAGAGCCTTCCCAGCCCTGGAGAGGTGCTCGCTGCAAAGGAGCTGCTTACTTTGGCCTCACCCGAGAGGCCTCAGCCCGGGGTAGAGCAGCCCTGAACACTGCCCTGTTTGTGCTTCGGGAAGGGGCGTTCGTGGCAGTCCCGTCACGGTGGGAGCAGGCAAAAGAGCCGATGGTTGTTCCCCTCCCCCCCCGCCCCATAGCCCTCACATGTTTGCCTTTGCACGGGCAGGAGCCAGCCAGCGCCTGCCGCGGGGGACACTCTGAGCAGGACCCCACCTCATCCAGATACGTGCAGAGCAGCAGGTAACCCCCCCACTGTCGGTCTGTCTTCGGAGGGGCCTCGGGCTGAGGAGGTGACACTTTTTAGATGTCACCGTGGAATGGCTCAGTCATTGCACTTGCTCTGCAGGGCAGGAGGGTCTGCTCACCCTGGGCAGGTACTCCATGACAAGGGGCGAAGCCAGCAGCCTCCAAGCCAGGATGGAGGTGGATTCAGTTTTAGCTGCCCTACCTAAAAGCCCCAATCCCTGTGCTCTGTACGGGGCCACGCGTGTGCCTCCATGCTCATGCCTCCGTGCGCACAAGCTGGTGCCCACAGGGACAGGGAGTGCTGCCAACTCCCGCAATTGCTGGCATTGCCTTGAACCCCAGAGCCTGGGAACTCGCGATTTCGAACGAAATGCCATTCTCCTAAAGTCGCAGAGTAAAGCTGGGGCATGCAAGAGAAAAACTCGGAGAACAGCGTGCCCCTCCTGCTCCCCTGAGAAGTGCCATGGGCACCACAGTGGAGGGACACCACCTCCCATGGGCACAGGCAGGACAATGCTGTGCTGTCACTGCCAGTGGGTTATGGCAGGTTTGGTTTGACTCGGCCCTGGGCCCTTGTGCGTAACCATGATGCTCCGGGGACAGGGAATGGCGGGCTGGGCTGGGGCTGGGGCACAATGCTGCCTCCATATGGTCCGGTCCATCTGGAAACCCCAGTGGAGACCGGGAGAATAGAGGCAAGGGGTGCTTCTTGTGCCCCTTGAAACCTCCTCTGCTTGTGGGCCACCAGAGTCCCCCTTGGAGGCAGGGAGAGGTGGGAGACTGCTGCTAGTCAGTGACTTGCAGCATCCCCAAGCTGTGCCGGGCGATGCCAGCCATGGTGGTGGCAAAGCAAAGCCCCTCTGGGCAATACCAGCACAGCAGCTGTAGTCCCCACGGGGCGTCCAGCCCCCAGACAAGGGGATCACCTTGGCACTGGCTCCGCACCCTCGTCAGCGCTGACCCAGTGCCAAGTCCCAGAGGGCCTGGTGCCCACTTGGTGCTTGGGAGACCCCAACGTGCTCCGGTGTGAAGCAGCTGCTGCTGCTGTGCTGGCTCTGCGTCCCCGTGGGAGGGGACAGTGTGTGCTCTGCCATGGCGTGAACGTCCCACCCACAGTCCAAAGGGCAGCTCAGCCCTGCCCGGGTGGCCCAGACTTTGCCTGCAGGGGAATGACTCACCTGCCTGCACAACAGTCCTAGACCCGTCACGGGACCTGCCATGGGACTGGCCACGTCACCATCAGTACCTGCCGGTCAGAGGGGGACATGTGCCGTGGAGTCACCCCTCAGCCCTCCTGGGGCTACATGGCCAGCGGGGCTCGCTTGGTGGGGACAAGCAGTAGCTAAGGTCAAGGATGCAAAAGCCCTTTGTGAGCATCTTGGTTCCCACTCTGGATTCCATGCAACAAGACCTCCCTCACCCCACGACTCGGTGTCCCCAAGCACCACTGGCCTCTGGAGAGGTTGTAAAACAGCCAGTGTTTTGAGGCCCTCTGCTGAAATGGAGGAATGAGGAGCTGGATGCCATGGCACCACAAACTCTGCATACATGGAGGACCTGCTGGCTTGCCCTTTGCCAAGGGACCCCACTGCGGATTTGTTTAGTGTCTGCTGGGCTCCAAATGTTTGAATACGCTGCTGCTAAAGCTGTTTGGAAGGAAAGATGGAAAAGGTGACGGGCTGGGACTGAAATAGCTGTGACTGATCTAGGCCTCCACTGGAGATGTTTGAACATCAAAGTATGGAGGGTGCTGCACCCCCTACCGCTGGCTGCCTCCAGGTGTGTCTCCTTCTCCGCAGGGTGGGACCATCACTTGTGCCGCAGAGAAGTAGGCTTCAATATAACTAAAGAGCACACCCTGCTTAGGGTTTGAGCTTCCCTGAGGCTGCAAAGATGAGGGTGGATCCTGCACCTCTCCATATCCCTCAGCTGGCGCTCTTTGTCCCGCATCCCGCCCGCATCACCCCACAAGGGGACAGGGCTGCCCCAGCTGCAAGTCCGTCATGGCGCCAGCAGCTCTGCAGGCTGCCTCGCAGTGCGGGCTCCGTCCTTCTTGCCATCCCTCTGCCTGCGAGGGTTGTCCCCGGGTTGCTGCGGCGGAGCTGTGTCCCTCCATGGGCCTGGGGCAGTGGCACGGACGGGGCTGCCTGCGAGCACAGCTATGGATGCTGGGGCTTCGTTTCTCTGCCAAGCGATCCCCCAGCTTTCCCCTTTGACCCCGGAGCCCAACCCTCCCTCCGCAGGAATGTTTTTCAGGGGGGGGGAGGTTGGCGCAGCTCCAGCTGCTGAATTTTTCCATGCCCAGAGACTGTCTCCTGCCTTAAATGGCCCCATAACAGGGGCTGCGTCTGCTCTCCTGCCACCACCTATTTAAGGATTTTTTTGATTCAGTCCCCAGCATGGAGTGGGATGACACCAAGCCAGCGCCTCGCAGCTGGGCTGAGCCCTGTGGGGGAATGCTGGAGCACACGGGGCTGGTTGCCCTGGGGTTCCCCGCAGTGGTGTGCGCAGGTACGGGGGAGTCCAGTGCTGCTCCAGCTCTTCCAAGCATCTCCCTTCCCTGTGTGCAGGTCAGATTTCCTTGATCCAGGTCCACATCCCAGTCCTAGGGGGACCTGGGTCACCGGCAGCATGTGAGCCAGCAGTGGCATCCCCTGTGCAGAGACACCCTTGCCATGGGCAGCCCGTGCCACCGAGGGATGCTCCTGGGCCCACTAAGGTGCAGCTCCTGCCCATGCCCTCGCTGGCCAGACCCAGCTGAAGCTGCCCAGACTCCCCCGAGCCTTCCTGCCCTCCGCAGCATCTTCCACCACCCAGGAAGCCTCCCTGCGAGCTCAGGTGAGGGATGCCCTGTCCCATTCAGGCTCAGCGGAGGCTGCACTGGCCGCAGCACAGCCACGGTGCTGGTGGTGCAGCCAGGGCAGGGAACACGCCACAATCCCTGTGGGTCTCCATCCCGAGGCTGGACAGCGTGGAAGCACTGGGAGCTCCTGGTGGGGACATCAGCGGTTTCGGTGTCAGAGCTCCCTGTCCCAGGCAGGTCATTTTCAGGGCACAAACTGCTTTATGGAGAAGAGCCTGCCCCAGGGCGCAAGCCAGGACCTTGCTGGAGACCTCACAGGGGCATTCCCTGGGTGAACCGCCCCTGGCCAGGACAGAGAGGACCTAAATGCTTGTGAG